TAGTTTAAGTTAACGAAAGAATAATCCCATAAATTAATTTCAGGATAACTCAAACTGTAGTGAATAATCTCATACGTCACTTCAGGATAACTCATCATTACCTAGAGAGATATGTATATGACAGGACCATGAAGGTAGACCCCCAAATATGTGCTTTGTTTGGCTGGGTACGTCGACGAAGTTAGACCTTGGCCGGTAGGTGGGGGTAGATGGACTCAGTGACGATGAGCTGACGACGATAGGATAAGACTTACTGGGTTTTTTTTTCTTGAATGTTATAAGACTTATTGGATGTCTGTGTATTAAAGATAATTTTTTGGGTGATTGTGTTTTATTTTTATTAGACTTGGATGAAGATTTTAATATAGGATTTTCTTAGTTTATTGATTATTGATGTCTAGACTTATCATAAACTTTGTGTACATTACTAGGATAATACTGTTATTGGTAAAGCATTCATTGATGGCTGAAAAAGCATAGCACATTGACGGTTTACATTTAGAAGCATAGCATTTGTGGAGGTGCAGTATAGCAACGGGATTTATAGAATCTGCTATGTGACTATAACTTTTGCTATACATCTTTCTCTGCTTGACGAACGAACAGGATAAACACACACATTGTTTTTAATCAGTGACGTCATCCAGACCGTGTTTACATTAAGAGCTGACCACGTGATCACACTATTTGTCAACAAAAGCCACGTGGGGCCGATCAGCTGACGGTGAACACGACCACATAGTGAGGGGAGGAGCGTGTTCTACAAGGGCGTGTTGATATTACCTTCTGATTTCTTTCTTGTTTTTGTTTTTTTAATCCTGGGGCGTTGAACTTAGAGTAACAGCACAGCGATAACAGCACAACGAGAACAGCAGTTAATAGAACACGAAGAATATTATCATGAGGACAACTGTAGCAAGAATGAAGTTACCAACAACAACAAGATGGGACAACAACGGCAGTAGTAGCAACAGCAATATAAACAGATGCACTAAGAGCAGTAGCAGCACAGCGAGAACAGCAGCGGCAGCAGCAGGAGGGCAGCAACAGCTAGCATATTGATGAAGGTGTGACGGAGACAAGGCGGAGTGGCCCAGCCTCAAGTTGACCTCCTGTTGCTGTCTGTTGCTGTTCCTGTTGCCGTTGTCGTTGTTGTTGCTGTTAATATTCCTGTTGCTGTTATTGCTGCTGTTGTTCTTGCTGCTGTTGTTCCCGTTGCTATTTCTGCTCCTATTCCTGTTGTTGTTATCCATGTTACTGTGTTTTTGCTGCTCCTGCTGTATTTGTTGCTGTCCTTGTTACAATACCCTTACTGCTGTACTTACTGTTAAGATCACAAGCACACACACACTGGGTTAGGTTATCTTAAGACCATTTTAGGTTAGGTTAGGTTAGGTTAGGTTAAGGATTGCGTGTGTATATATCTCATTTAGACGCGGCGGCTGTGAGAAAGAGTGTTGTGTCTTGTGTTGATTCAGCCACATACTGTACGTTATTTATGGACGTTTTCTTAGATTGTGGTAAAAAAAAGCGTTGGTGTTGTTGTTGTTATCTGTTATTGTTGAGGTTGTTGCTATTGTTATATTTTCTTGTTGTTTTTGTTATTTTTTTTTATTTTCATGTTTTTATTATTTTGTTCCCTTAGTTGTTATTCATCTAATTCTGTTGATGTTTTTGTTGTTTTTGTTTTCTGAAGAGAATTAAGAGATAGAAACAAGAGATAATGAAGGAGATAAAAGAGAAATGAGATAATAACGAGGATGAAAGGAAATAGAAAGACAGAGATAATGCAGGAGATATAGAGATAGACAGAGATAATGCAGGAGATATAGATAATGCAGCAGATTCAGAGATAGACAGAGATAATGCAGGAGATAGAGATAATGCAGGAGATACAGAGATAGAGACAGATAATGCAGGAGATAGAGAGATAGAGACAGATAATGCAGGAGATAGAGAGATAGAGACAGAGATAATGCAGGAGATGAAACGAGTGAACAATCGGAATCTTCGCCAGGCACATCCTCGCTTGGCGTTCGCATCGCCTCGCTGTTCGATTTTAAAGCTTCCTCCTCATTTCCGGACAATATTCGAATGTCCGGTGGAAGGGAACCTCTTGGGAGAGCTGGTACTTTTCGTTATTATTTTATGTAACAGAGTGAGGAGGGGTAGTGTGTGAGGTGAGAGAGGGATAGGGGTGGTATGAGGTAAGGGGGAGGGGTAGTGTGAGGGTGAGAGGGATAGTGTGAGAGAGGGGTAGTGTGAGAGTGAGAGGGGTAGTGTGAGAGTGAGAGGGATAGTGTGAGAGTGAGAGGGGTAGCATAGGAGTCAACATGGCCACATACTACACACGTCACATAAAGTAAAACAACATATCGTTCTGAAGACCAACATGATCAACATAATGCCATACCTGTGATTAAGTCAAGATAATTAGAGCAGCGACTCACCTGTACTCGACTTAGAATATTAGGTTAGGTTAAGTTAGGTTAGGTTGGCTTTTGTTGGATTGGGTTAGGTTAGGTTAGGTTAGGTTAGGTTAGGCTTTTGTTGGATTGGGTTAGGTTAGGTTAGGTTAGGTTAGGTTAGGTTAGGTTGGCTTTTGTTGGATTGGGTTAGGTTAGCTTAGCGAGGTAACGTGTGTATATATACAGGTACTCAGGGAGGGGCGATTGCCAGGTGTGCCCAGGTGTTGATGATAGTTTATACCTGTGTGTTTCTCAGCCCTGCCTCGCCCAATCCCGCCCAGTTCCAGGTGTGCTAGTGAGGCAAGTTGGGTGGGGGAGAAGAGGGAGGGGATGGGGAGTAAGAGAGGGAAGGGGATGGGGGAGTAAGAGAGGGAAGGGGAGGTTTCTGGTTACTGATGGGGTGAAGAGGAGGAAGAATGTAGGGGGAGGGAGGAGGGAGCTAATTGATTGTGGGGTGAAAGGAGGGTTATGTATCCGTGTGTGTGTGTGTGTGTGTGTGTATGTGTGTGTGTGTGTGTGTATGTGTGTGTGTGTGTGTGTGTGTGTGTGTGTGTGTGTGTGTGTGTGTTTGTTATCTCACCGTCTTCTCCTTTCCCTTCACCCTACTCTTTTTTCTCTCTCTCTCTTCTCCCTCTTTTATCTCTCGTTGCCAGTTCTCCCCAACGTACCCTCTTCCCTTCTTACCTCCCCTTCTTATCTCTCTTTCTTTTGCTACCTCATTATCCTCCTTAATCTGTTTCTCCCTCATTTCCTCCCTCGTTCACGCCTTCCTTACCTTCTTCCTTCCGTTACTCTTTCCTTTCTCTTCCTCCCATTCCTCTCTCACTGATTCTTCCTTTCATCTTTCACTTATTCCTCCTTTCTCTTCTCTCCTTGTCCTTCCTCCCTGACTTTATCCTCTATCCCTTCCTCCCTCCTCCCAGAACCAAAAAGAGATACAAATAGACAGACATATGGAGACAGACATACGGAGACAGACAGGCAGACAGACATACGGAGACAGACAGGCAGACAGACATATGGAGACAGACAGGCAGACAGACATACGGAGACAGACAGGCAGACAGACATACGGAGACAGACAGGCAGACAGACAGACCAGACAGACAGACAGATAGTGTGTCATTTATAGCTAGTCGTGTGGATAAAGGTGTTCGTGGAAGGCATTAAAGGATGGAACGAAATGAAGGAATCGGAGACGTGAGTAAGAACGAGATGGGGAAGATTAGGACAAAATTGGACTGCTTGTTGATCTGGACGAATTTTGATTGGTCGATTATATGATAGGGGCGAATTTTGATTGGTAGATGATAAGATAGGGAAGAATTTTGATTGGTCGATGATATAATAGAGAAGAATTTTAATTGGTAGATGATATGATAGGGGCGAATTTTGATTGGTCGATGGTAACTGAGACAGAATTTAATTGGCTTATAAATGTTTGTTTATTTACATTTTCATCCGTTTTTTTCCCTCTACACGTTGATGGTTGTACGCTTATGTACACTTACCATACACATGTAGTCTTGCACACACACACACACACACACACTCATGTACGTACGTAGAGCCGAGAAGCCGCTTGTGTGTGACCTGGTTATATGTTGTTAAATGAGCTGATGTGTTAAGGGGAATTAATGTGTATGTTTGACACATGCACTCACACGCACACAGACGTACACGACACAAGATGTAATCCTCATACATTAATACATGTACTCACACACAGTACACTGATAATTGTATACAGAGAGACGAATAAGGTGATCTTATGTATATATGTATATGTTGTACACACACACACACACACACACACACACACACACACACCATCCGCCGAAATCTTGGGGTCCAGGAATGTCTTTCTCGGAATTAATTAGGTCTTGTCTCTTCATTCCGCGGACTGTGTGTGTGTGTGTGTGTGTGTGTGTGCCTATGAACAAGTATATGGATATATATGCATGAGTTTGGGTGTACAGCATTGTATATTGCATTTCTCCAGAGCTCTTAGTGTTGTATGACTACATGACGTGTGAGTGTGTGTGTTTACAGTATACGGTTGTTTAACTATCACCGGACGAACACGTGCTGTCATGTCAACAAATCCACGCGCTCTGACTTAGCATCACATGACAGGCGAACGTGCTTGAGAAGTAAACTTAAACACGTGCTCTGGCCTAGCAACACGTGGCCGACGCACGTGCTGAAAAGGTAAACAGACACACGTGGTCTTGGTACAGCTGGCCACACACCTGGGGATCAGGAAACCATCACTCAAATTACAACCAAACACCATTTTTTCCTTTTTCTTTTTACAAACTTCCGCCTTCCGCCTCAGCCCCGCCCTGCCCTCCGCCTTGCCTTCCTCCTTCCTGGTTTACTGTGAACCCTGAATCACCTTCCTTAAGTTTATTTAATGTTGTATCCAGTGCTTATACCTGTACCCATACCTACACTGTACTTGAACCTATACGTACATTGAACGTACACTGTGTCTGCGTCCTTACAGTTGTGTTGTATTGCTTTTTGCAGGACAAGATCGTGAAGTGCAACATGAAACGATGTCCCAGCCTTGAGGGATGTTACTGGAAGTTGATGGAGGACCCTAAGCAGTGCTGCCAGATGTGCAAGGGTGAGTACCTAGGGTGTAAGGGAGGGTGAGTATCTAGGGTGAGGGTGTAAGGGAGGGTGAGTAGGGTGTAAGGGAGGGTGAGTAGGGTGTAAGGGAGGGTGAGTAGGGTGTAAGGGAGGGTGAGTAACTAGGGTGAGGGTGTAAGGGAGGGTGAGTGTCTAGAGTGTAAGGAAGGGTGAGTATCTGGGGTGAGGTGTAAGGGAGGGTGAGTGTCTAGGGTGTAAAGAAGGTTGAGTATCTGGGGTGAAGGTGTAAGGGAGGGTGAGTGTCTAGAGGTGGAGGAAGGGTGAGTATCTTGGGGGGGTGTGGGAGGTGATTGTCTAGAGTGTGAGGAAGGGTGAGTATCTGGGGTGAAGGTGTAAGGGAGGGTGAGTGTCTAGAGTGTGAGGAAGGGTGAGTATCTGGGGTGAGGGTAAGAGGGTGTAGGAGGGTGAGTGTCTAGAGGTAAGGAAGGAGATCTGGGGGTGAGGGGTGTAAGGGAGGGAGAGTGTAAGGAAGGGTGAGTATCTGGGGTGAGGTGTAAGGGAGGGTGAGTGTCTAGGAGGTGTGAGAAGGGGCTAGGGTCTGGGGTGAAGGTGTAAGGGAGGGTGAGGTCTAGGGGTGTAAGGAAGGGTGAGTATCTGGGGTGAGGGTGTAAGGAGGGTGAGTGTCTAGGGTGTAAGGGTGAGTGTCTAGGGTGTAAGGAAGGGTGAGTATCTGGGGTGAGGGTGTAATGGAGGGTGAGTGTCTAGGGTGTAAGGGAGGATGAGTGTCTAGGGTGTAAGGAAGGGTGAGTATCTGGGGTGAGGGTGTAAGGGAGGGTGAGTGTCTAGGGTGTAAGGGAGGATGAGTGTCTAGGGTGTAAGGAAGGGTGAGTGTCTCGGAAGAGAGTATCTAGGGTGAAGGGTGTGAATTGATAAAGGCAGATGATGCTAATGATGATTTACATGAGGATGATGATGAAGATTTACATGATGATGATGATAGTGATAATATAGTTAGCAAGAGAGAGAGGCAGCTAACAGCATCTGGGTGTGTGTTAACGGAGTCTAATATTAAATTAACCAATATTAAGTCCATTGTGTAGTAGTAGTAGAATGTGAGAGGAAAAAACCTTCTCCTTCTTCTTAACGTTCTTATTTCTTACACATTATTCTTATTATTCTTATTATTATTATTATTTCCTTGTCTATGTATATTTCTCTTCCTTACATTTATCACCGTCTACCTGTCTCGTTCCTTCACCAGGTTGTGAACACGAAGGCTCCTGGTATCATCACGGTGCCCGCTGGTCTGACGGATGCCAACATTACGACTGCCAGTCTGGTGTCCTCACTGTCACCCAGACACAGTGCCACACCCCCTGTTACTCCCCCCTGCCACGAAACGGCGACAAGTGCTGCCACAGCTGCCCTGGTGAGTGCCTTCCCTGTCATTATTCACCCTTGTTTTTACCCTGTTATATCCTACCCTGTCACCCCTTACAGTTACCCCTCTACATCTACCCCTTGACACCTACCCTGCCATTCATACCCCTTTTACGAGAGAGAGAGAGAGAGAGAGAGAGAGAGAGAGTGGCTGGATAAAGAGAAGAGAGAAAGGGGGCTGGATAAAGAGGAGAGAGAGAGAGGGGGCTGGATAAAGAGAAGAGAGAGGGAGAGAGAGAGATGGGGGAATTACGTAGATATTAATAGTCCCCAGTTTTCTTCCCAATTTTAACCCCAATTTCTACCCCAGTTTTAACCCAATTCACCACGAGTAGTAGGAACAGTGGTGTAGTGAACGAGGTTAGGTTAGGTTAGGTTAGGTTAATATTCAAGTAATGTTTATTTAGATTGATGTTGATGTATCAAGTTTAGAGGGTGTTGACGATGGGTGATGGTGGGTGATGATGGATGGTGGGTGATGGGTGATGGTGGTAGATGGTGGGTGATGGTGGTGGATGGTGGGTGATGGTGGTGGATGGTGGGTGATGGTGGGTGATGGTGGTGGATGGTGGGTGATGGTGGTGGATGATCGCGGGTGATGGTGGATGGTGGGTGATCGCGGGTGATGGTGGATAACAATGAGTGATGATGGATGACGATGGGTAATGGTGTGTGATAATAAGTGATGATGGATGACTGTGGGTGACAAATGATTGGATGACAATGGTGGATGATGGCGTCTAACTGTTAACAACCTTATCGGACAACCAAACGCGACAGACACCACTACAATGTATTCATTAACTCTGGTGGCTCTTTCACAATTACACACACACACACAAAAACACACACTTTCTTCTCTTGCTGTTCTATTGCCTAACGTCGGTTCTAATTGTTACTCCAGCTTAAGAGAGAGAGAGAGAGAGAGAGAGAGAGAGAAAAAAAAACACTCTCTGGACTTAATTTTGTATTTTCGAAGATATGTTTTTTTTTGGTAAGGTAGGTAGGCAAGCAAGTAAGTAAGTAAGTAAGTAAGTAAGTAAGTAAGTAAGTAGATATTCAGTAAACTCGCCATAAAAGTTTACTGTTGGTTCAGGATAGAGACAACGGGGTTATACAGTTCAGCATGTCTATAGACTATAGTTAACTTGTTTATAGTTATGATAGAAAACTTGACTAATCGAGGATAAACTAAAGTATTTTCAGATGTAACATTTTTTTTTTCTCTTGTTTTATCAAAGTTCATTAAGTTGTTTTGCTCCGATTTTTTGTGAAGATTGAATTTCTAGTGAGGATTTAGCGGGTCAGCCTTGTTGATAGTGATAACAGAAAACTTGACGGGTCGAGGGTAAACTGGAGTAAAGCGAGTGGTGGCGCTATCAAGGTGAGGACGGGGCACATCCGGCGTCTTCATCACCTTCACAAGACTCCTCTCGCGGAAGGCAGCTCACTGATAACTGACTAAACGAGGTGAATGCACGAGCTCCTACACTCTGTTCACTACACTTCCACCTGTTGGTACACCTTCTAATACCGACATAAATAAAATAAAAAAATAGTTGTAAAAACCATAACATACGTTGGGTTGTTGGGTAGATATTTTGTGTGGAAGGGATGAAGTCGTTTGTGTCTGTTATTGTAATTATTTTTAATAGTTTTACTTTCAGAAATGGATTGTATAATAATTGTTATAATAAACAATAAAAAAAAACAAATTATCCCAGACAAACAAATAATTCTAGAAAGAGTAACAGTAAACAAAATCAAGCAAACAACTGTAGACAGTATAGACATAAACAAAAGAGAAAATGACCAATAAAAATAATAGTCGCAGAAAATTGGGGGCGACAGTAGGGAGGAGACACTGACTAGACAAGTGCCTCTGTTAAAGATGAGATCAGGATGCAAGCAGATGACAGTGATTAATTGATCCCGGGAGGAACAGCTGGGTGATGAGGCTAGACAAAAGTAAACAAACCAATAGATAGAGTGAGAGACCCAGACTGATAGGAGTACACGAGGGAGAGATAAGAGAGATGGGAGAAAGAGGACAGAGAGAGAGAGAGAGAGAGAGAGAGAGATCAAACTAAAAGACACGCTATACCTAAACACTAATCCACCCACGCACCTCCCCCCCCCCACTCTCTCTCTCTCTCTCTCTCTCCATCATCACCACGCCTATGCTTCAGTAATAAGACTTGCCCCCCCAGCCTCCAACACCCCGACACGGCCAGCAATCACCGCCATATACAACAATATACAGGAGCCAAGGCGATGATGGGCATAAGTACACAAATATACACCACCACTACCACCACCACCACCACCACCACTACTACCACCACCACCACCGGCCCTAAGAATAGTACCCTCTCCTCCCTCACCCCCCCACACAACCCTTAACTTGTTGCTAAGGCAGTTACGGCGAGGTAAGATGGTTCAACCTCCTTTACTAACGCCAGACGATTTTATTCAACACACACACATACGTCCAGTAATGCAGGATAATAAACACTACTTAAGTGAAGAAGAAGAAGAAGAAGAAGAAGAAGAAGAAGAAGAAGAAGAAGAAGAAGAAGAAGAAGAAGAAGAAGAAGAAGAAGAAGAAGAAGAAGAAGAAGAAGAAGAAGAAGAAGAAGAAGAAGAAGAAGAAGAAGAAGAAGAAGAAGAAGAAGAAGAAGAAGAAGAAGAAGGAAGAAGAAGAAGAAGAAGAAGAAGAAGAAGAAGAAGAAGAAGAAGAAGAAGAAGAAGAAGAAGAAGAAGAAGAAGAAGAAGAAGAAGAAGAAGAAGAAGAAGAAGAAGAAGAAGAAGAAGAAGAAGAAGAAGAAGAAGAAGAAGAAGAAGAAGAAGAAGAAGAAGAAGAAGAAGAAGAAGAAGAAGAAGAAGAAGAAGAAGAAGAAGAAGAAGAAGAAGAAGAAGAAGAAGAAGAAGAAGAAGAAGAAGAAGAAGAAGAAGAAGAAGAAGAAGAAGAAGAAGAAGAAGAAGAAGAAGAAGAAGAAGAAGAAGAAGAAGAAGAAGAAGAAGAAGAAGAAGAAGAAGAAGAAGAAGAAGAAGAAGAAGAAGAAGAAGAAGAAGAAGAAGAAGAAGAAGAAGAAGAAGAAGAAGAAGAAGAAGAAGAAGAAGAAGAAGAAGAAGAAGAAGAAGAAGAAGAAGAAGAAGAAGTGGTGATAATGTTAATAATAAGAACAATGACCATAGAACAGTATATATTTTTGTAACTAATAAAACTCGATAGTGTCACCCTGAAATACAAAGAACATTGATAAAAAGTTTCACATTAAACCCTCGTGATGACTTAAAGATGTATAGTACTTATCCCCGACAGACAAACAAGCAGTCATCGCCGACACCTACCACGTTGGTCGAGTGATCTAGAGGTACATAAGACGAGACTGTAGTTATAGAAGTAATGATGACGGAAATTAAAATTATTATTAGTATAGTCGGATCACCTTGAAATTACCACCCCAGCTTATTTCACCTGATGATTAAGCACCCTAACACTAACCTAACCTATATTAACCTGTCCTAATCTAATCTAACTTAACCTAACCTAACCAAACACTAACCAATATTAACCTGTCCTAATCTAACCTAACCTAACCAAGCACTAACCTATATTAACCTGTCCTAATCTAACCTAACCTAACCAAACACACCAATATTAACCTGTCCTAATCAAACCTAACCTAACCAAACACTAACCAATATTAACCTGTCCTAATCTAACCTAACCTAACCAAGCACTAACCCATATTAACCTGTCCTAACCTAATCTAACCTAACCTAAGCAAACACTAACCTAACCTAACATGGGGAGACTCATTTTCCTGTGATTCTTAACATATCTTTCCCAGATGGTAGAGTAACTCACTAACTATTAAATACTACGAACCACAAGACCATTACCTGTTTGGCTATACCTTGTCTCATTAAGGAAAGGTCTGTATTCATAGATCACAGGCAGTCAATATTTCCAGGGAACTCTTGTCAAAAGGTTGGGTTCGAATCTACGGACTTAAATCACCATTTTTTATTCTCTCTCTCTCTCTCATATGATTATCTTTAGGTTGGACGAGGTGATGATCCTTGATAAACAGTAATAGAATAAGAATGATAAAGTAATAATAATAATAATATCCGTAATGACAATAATTAATTAAGACAAAGGCACATAAAGGAAAATGAGAGACGAATTGATTGAGAGAGAGAGAGAGAGAGAGAGAGAGAGAGAGAGAGAGAGAGAGAGAGACATTACAAACACAAGACTTATTTCCCCCCTCCTCTTCCTTCCTTCCTACCACCTCTCTCTCTCTCTCCTCCCTCCTTCCCACCACTTGGCTACCGTCATTCACACGAACAAAGGTAAAAAATGTAAGTGTGGGTAATAATAGTCCAGACAACTAGACACAACACCGTGGTGGGCGGTCCAGAGGCGGAGGGTGAGGCGGAGGGAGAGATGGAGGGTGAGGTGGAGGGAGAGATGGAGGGTGAGGTGGAGGGTGGGAAGGAGGCGCGAAGGAAATGATTAAAATAGTAATAATAATAATAATAATAATAAGGAAGAAAGGTTTAGATAGGGATAGGTAGATAGAGGGAGGAAGAGAGGATGTAATGAGTGGAGGAGTGAGGGGATGAGGGGGGGGGGTGTTTACCTGTGTGGCGCCTTTCGTTTATCACGTCCCCCCCCCAACTATGGTTAAAAGAACACACACACTTCTAGTTACGTATACAGTAGTCTCAACGAAATTTCCTCCCCATTTTGTGTGGTAGTTTATGTGTGGTACTTTGGTGTTTCCTCGCTACCTCGCTTGAGGAAAAAATGACGTACGGTACAGATCTGGTAGAGTTAAGACCGCGGGTATAGGGAGGTGTGTGGTGCACGGTGATGAAGGCTATTTCTTAACACACATATACTGATACACACATACACACGATACAAGATGCAATATGTTTGTATTTCAACTTATAATAATATTTCAGCTAAAATACACGCATATACTGTACACCTTATCTGAACTATATAATTATCATATTTGTATATTTTTAACTGCGACAATTCCATTAACTTTTACTAACTTGAAGATGGCAACATCCACCAATTATAAGTTATCCACTCTTTAAAATCAACATATAAACTTTACGTGTTTGATGTACAAGGTGTGAAGGTGAAGTTTACGCCTGTCTGAACATTTTGCAGTAATAAAGCAGTTACATAATGCGCACCCGGTGGAGACAGACAATGTTAAGAAAAAGTACCGCGAACACGACAGAGGCTACGCCGTTAAAGTAATATGAAAGGTGATGTTTCGACCCAACCAGAACAAATCCACCCACGGATCGTTAATTTTAGTTTTGATTAGTGTGACTTTTGTCGTTTTTATAAATTGTCCCATTAGAGATGATCTGCACAGTGTACAAGTGTCTCATAAGTCACGCACCATGTTAATCAAGCGTGTCCCATAGACCACGCATCATACTATACAAGAGTGTCCCATAGGTCAGGCACCATACTGTATATACAGTATGATGCATGACCTATGAGACACACCCTGTACAGTATGGTGTGCAATCTATGAGATACCTTGTACATGTAGCGCGGCGCAGTACTTTGATGAGGGTGCTGTTGACGTCAGAGGGACCCTGAGTACAAATATTTAACCCGGCGGAGACAAGAACATCTGCCAGTTAAGAGACAACAAATGGTAACTGTAACTTGGCTTCTGGTGGGAGTACGATTCAATTAAACTTTTTTTTTTTAGACGGGACATAAAACAACACTTTACGTCTCACAGTTGCGTTAGTATTGAAATTACTACATCATTTAGCTAGGTCAAGATTCTTATAAGGTTCTTACTATAAAGATTCGACGTAATTGAGGAAACATTCTAATGTTATAATGGCCACAGTCTTTGCTTTGTAGCTGTAGTGAGTCAGTTTATTGGTAAAATAGTCATCATCTTTGTGTCGTAGCTGCAAGGAGATTAATACTAAAATTGTGTTGGCTTGGTTGTATGAAGTCAGTTTAATGGTAAAATAGTCAACCTTGTGTCGTAATTGTAGTGAATTAGTTCGTTCCATCCCAAATCTCTTTTCATAAATAAAAACTATAACCTACGGACCTTTCGAGAATAAATTATTATGTCGTAGCTTAAGCCGTTACCCCCCAAATATGGAATAAAAACTGTCACGAACCCCTTTGAAATCGCGGAGACAACAACGCTTCCTCGAGACAAATGGTACTTTTTGCACTAAAGTTACGCCACCTGTCCGGGCTCTTATCTACATAGGGGAGTACATTATATTGTTAACTGCATAAATAGCGTCGTTCAGCGTGTGGTGCAGTAATTGTGGATACAGGTGTGACCATAATATATTAGTGGAAGGGTATTATAATCATTTCTGTCATCAAGCTAATTTTAGGTTTATGTTTTGGAATCAGTAGTTTAGATAATTCTAAGACTTCTTCCATAGTGTTTCCGTCGGAAATTTATTTTTTTTTTCGAGTATTTTAATAGATAAAATGGTAAATCTATTGTGGTGCACCGGTCTTTCTTTTGATATTAGAAATGTTTTTCCTGTGGTATTTGATGAATTTCGAACGCATTTGATATTCATTTCCGCTGGAAATCACCAGTTTTTTTTAGATAACCCCTTCCCTCCCCACACCCAACAATCGAAACTGAAAAATATGGATTTTTTTTCTCGAGTAAATCACATAAATAAAATAACAACCAACCAACAAAACCTAACCTAACCCCCCTTTGTTCATGCCCCCGCATCTTACCTTATTTGAAGAAGAATCAGGGTGGATACAATGTCGGCACAGCTCTTAAAATCTAATAATGTTGAAAAATAAATATCTCGGTTATCCTTAATTTTCAGCAGAAATAGCATAGAAGAAAAATTTGTTAGAATTGTCTAAACATTACAAAATTACATATTAATAACACCGAGAGAAAGACCGGTACTTTACTGTAAATTCGCCGATAAAATTATATTTTCGCCCCCAGGCCCTGATGTAGGTCAGTGACCTGTGCCCGGGTGGGCTATTTCCCCGTAGAAAAAAAAAACATAAAAAGGAAAATGTCGGGTAAAATACTAAGAATAACACCAAACATACCTTTGAAAACCTGACCTGTGACTGACTTTTCATAGAAAACTAATTTAAAAACTCGGCACTTTCACTTTTTTTCTATAGTGGATACTGTTGTAGTTTGTGCAAATGTGTTAAAAAGTGGTTATTTCTAAATTAAATATAACCTAACCAACCAAACCAAACAAACTTACCTAGCTCCCCGGGTCCCCTCGTATATTAAACAGAAAGAACTTACTATGATATGGTGTATTTTGCGTTGTTTTTGTGGACGTGAGAGCAGCCGCCTGCATTGGGTTGATCCAGCGGAGTGTTTTGAAGTACCTTATATACAACAGACTTTCCACACAAACTCAGTTCAATTTCAAAGTATTGCTATGAAAAGTACTTTCTTATTAAGATGTTTATAAATAAAGGTATAATACTGGGTTTAATCTTCGCATTTTCAAGCCAAGTTCCTTTATAAGCACTAGAACTGTAGCACAAGACTGGCAACAACCTTCACATGCCAGGCTGAAAATGAAACAGGAACACACAGTAGTGCGCACCTTGGGGCCTAATTATCTACGAAATGAAACATTTGCACAAAATGAGTATCATATCAGAACTCACTGATGAAAATAAAGTAAGAAAATAAACAGTAAAACAAATAACTCGTTTGCTGGTAAGTCGTCAATTTTAACCGTTATTTTTTGTATTTTACCCCACATTTTTCCTCACTTCAAAGTCTTGCCCACCTTAAGCAATAATACAGGGTACAATATTGTTTGTAATTTTATCGATTAAAATACTCAAAAAATATAAATTTCCGACGGAAATATCGTAGGAAAAAAGTGTCTTAGAATAGTCTGAACTATGTGAAAAGCATATTTTTTTATGGAAAAATCGAAACTTGGCTGCTATCATAAATTGACTAAAAGTGTCTTAGAATTGTCTAAACTACTGATTCCAAAACTTAAAATCCTAAAATTTGCTGAATGACTGAAACGATAATAATACCTGTGGAAGTTATGGCTTGGGTCGACAAAGAACATATTATTATACAGTACAGGGTATTATTATTGTTAATAGTACTGTAGTAGATAAAGCAACTAGTGACGTGTGTGTACTATCACCACACACCCCAGTGAGGACCCAGCTGAGCATATGGCAGCCTTGACAGATTATGCACCATCACTTGTACATCTCTCCCAGTCTCTTTGATACTTTAAGTATATATAGCGAGATGTTGATATTTTGTTAGGTTAGGTTATGTTAATTTTATTTGTTAAGAGTTTGATTGGAGGTGTTGAATAGCTACCAGGAGGCTATATTAAAGCAGCACTGTGTCATAATTTATGTCTAATTCCCAAAATATTGTTGTTAGCCTCTACACCAAGCTCATCAACCAACCCAGACCTCCAGCTTATGCCGAGGTACAGTACAGTAATGTGTATGTATGTTTCTCTGCAGGATGTTGGTTGGAGGGACGTCGTGTGGGTGAGGGGGAGGTGGTGGCATCCCGCGTTGACCCTTGTGTCCGCTGCGGGTGTACAGAAGGGAAGCTGACATGTGAGAAGAAGGCTTGTCCTGTGCTGTCATGCCCCACCAAAAAGCAGGTCCTCTTACCTGACAGCTGCTGTAAGACCTGCCAGGGTGAGTAGAATATCACCACTAGCTGCCTGTCTCATGTCTCCTCTTTTTATTATTTATATTATTTTTTTTTTCATTACAAAGGTGATATTTTAAAATATTTAGTTCATGGTTAGGAAAAGTGTGAAGACCTTAGCATGTCACATGTCTTCACAGATTGCAGGTATGAAAAGTTGTCTCTGTCTGTACACACACACACAGGCAGAGAGTGAGTGTGTTTGTCGAGGGTTAAGTAAGAGATGTGGCTGAGCAAACAGACTTGTGTACCTGACCTTGATGTTACCATGTTGGGCTGCCTCAAGTCTGAATCTCACCTTTAGAGACAGGTACTATGACATTGTAAACCAAGATGATACATACATGTTTTTTTGTAGTATTTCTGTATAGATTTACCTATACAACTTAAGGTTAGCTTTGCATCTGAGAAAGCTGTAAATCAGCTGTTGAGTTCACTCTTTTTTTTTTTTTAGTAAAGCTAAAAGTCCTCATATGTAACAACTACTGATGGTGTCAGTGTCTCAGCTGTTGACAACATAATTAGCCAACAGGTGTCAAGCTGTAAAGGTCATGGCAGTGGTAAAAATGACCACACATTTTTATCAGATTCGCAACACATGCTTGCACCATGCTAGTCGCTGTTGTTCATCATGTCTAAATAACAACTTAATAATTAAAACAGTTTAACCAAAGTACACGCAGTCAGTGTTGATAGTTTATTAATACAAACTATATGGCACTGCAGCTACGCACTATTGAGAAGGGTTTCGAGGGAAAACAGTCGTAGTTAGAAATGGCTCCACCTAGAATGGTCCCACTCTTAACAAAATGGCCCCAACCATAATTGCACCGAATTTAGCCACTTTTGGTTTTGAGAGTAAGTGACCCTTAGTGTCAGATTAATGTCCGTCATTGTTGTATCAAATTCATAAGTGCTATAAGTTGACGATTTGGTTGTACCTTCAGGGTCCCGTGAACTGATCACACCTCCAGGAGGCCGCTGCTTCCTCAATGGTTACCTATACACGACAGCGATGGAGCGGACGCTGGATCCCTGTACTACCTGCACCTGCCACCAGGGTTACATCACCTGTCAACGAGCCACCTGCCCTGTCCTCAATTGCTCCCATGAGTACCAAATCACAAATGAGAATGAGTGTTGTCCCACCTGTAGTGCCGCCGGCCAGTTAGAGAGCACCTGTCACATGTACGGGATGATACATAAGGATGGTGAGGAGTGGAAGAGGGATCAGTGTACCTCCTGTACCTGTACTAACGGGGCTGTCTCTTGCCACACTCTCCCCTGCCAGTACTTCAACAAGCCATGTCCACCTGGCTTTAAGGTAAGCCTCTCCTCCCCCCCCATCTCAATGTTCTTACTTAAACTTTTTTTTTGAACAATTACAACTTAATTTTGACTTTTTTAGAATAATTAGAAGTTTATTCTGATTATCATATACATCCAGTGTACCTTTAATCCTATGCTATTATTAAATATAAGTCACTCAAATTGTCCAATAACTGTGTCAGGACATTGCATACATGAGGATTCACTCGCTGATAGTATTACTAATATAACCATTACTTATGAAGCACTAAATGAAACAGACACACAGACAAAGAGAAACACTTCAGAATATAACAAAAAACTTTAGTACTGAAAATTTAATACACTAAACACTAATACATGTACTGTACCATACAGTCTATATAAATAAGGGATGTATCAGTGCTACTCTGGAGCTACCACCAAGTGAATCTCCCTGTAGTATATATATATATATATATATATATATATATATATATATATATATATATATATATATATATATATATATATATATATATATATATATATATATATATATATATATATATATATATATACAGTACAGTATATGAACTAATAATAACAAAATAAACACATAGTAGGTTGTACTTCTACTCCATAAATAATAAATGAGCATCACATAATAACACCATACAATGATAAAAATACAGTAATACCCCGCTTAACGCGGTTTCGCTTGGCGTGTTTTACCGTATACGCGGTGCCTCGCCAGAGCCGAACTTTCACTTAACGCGGGTTTTTTCCACGTATACGCGGTGAGTGTCCGGCTCGAGACGCTATTTTTAGATTCGCCCCACCCGCCACCCGCCTGCCTGCCTGCTCTCGCCTCTCCCTCCTCCTCCCTCCCTCCCGCCTCCCTCCGCCTGGGCAAGCCGCGCTGTAAGGTTGCGCAGTGTGTGTCTTCTACTAACGTAAGTGTTACACCTAACTTTTAATTTTCCTAACCTTACCTTTATTTTTCCTAACTTAACCTTTATTTTTCCTAACCTAACCTCTTCTATATTACTTGTTTGTTCATACCATCATAAAGTTAAGATAAAATTTTTACTACAACATAGTTATGTGTTGTCAAAAAGTGGAGTTTGGGGGTCGGGCCAGTTTCTATTGGAATTAATCCCATATGTTCTGTTGTTCACTTAGCGCGGTTTTCACTTAACACGGTACCCTGTGGGTTTTATTGACCGCGTTAAGCGGGGTACTACTGTACATATAAACTTAACATGACAATCAACACAATTATGTAACACTAATTATAATTCTCACATATACTGTACCTGTATACCAGGAAGTAGTAATAATAATGTTATTGACAGCGTGTTGAGTCCGAGCACGAGTGTTGTCCCCGTTGTGAGGAGGCTCCTGGTGTGTGTGTGGTGTTTGGCGATCCTCACTACCATACCTTTGATGGACTCCTCTTCAATTTCCAGGTACTATATACTCACTCTGTACTATATATAAAGTGTGGGTGGGTGAGGGGTAGAAGGTTGAGATTATACATTGTAGCTACAGTACTTCAAAAGAAAATCAATCTAAATCCCTAACATTATAGAGAATACGAGGAACACAATACTGTACACAGTTCCAGGTCATAACACCTCTATATTTACTGATAATGAAAAAAGAAAGTAGTTATATTTCACTATAATTCATCAAACATTTGACAATCATGTTTCAAAGCTAGTCCATCATAAATCATTATAGGAGATTTATGATGGACTAGCTTTGTTATTTTGTAGTTGTCTCCAGTGCCACCAGCCTGTAGTATCACTAATCTCTGTGTCACTCTACAGGGAGTCTGTAAGTACACTCTGGCGAAGACTTGTAAGGCCCAGGGCGGCTTCAATCTAAAGGTGAATAATGACGCCAGACGATCTGCCAACTTCTCCTGGACCAAAAGTCTTACCCTCAAAGTGCCAGGTGCTAAGGTGAGTGCCTAGATGATATGCAGAATATTTAGAATTTTGCCCCACGAGGGGGCTAGTTTATTGGGCACCCCTTTACATCCTGTGCAAGGTGAAGCGCAAAAGCATTTACAGCGCCCAGCTGGGAAGCATGTAGTTCATGCTTGCTTTCATAACTCTTGCATGAAGGGCGTAAAAGCCTGAGGTGCCATGGGTTTTGTCAGCATGTTACATAAAGTGACAGGATAATGAGTGTGTGGGGGGAAAATTCCCGGTACAATTTATCTGTTTATGGCAAAGCGTGGCAGGTCCCTAATAATGTCTAAGTGCTAGGCCTGTCACTAGGAGGAGGGATATCTGGTCAGGGAGGGAAGAGGTGTTGGTAACGGCTGGGGACCTGTAGGAGGAGATCAAAGGGCAAGTGAGGATGTAGTGAGAGAGGGTGTGAGAGTCGGGTTGACCACAAAGTGTACAAATAGTGCATCCGGGCTTAGGGTTGCGAATGTACTCCCATAGGTACCTGTACCCTAGACGCAGTCTCATGTACACAATCTGTTGGGATCGAGTCAGGGATTGTTACTCTTTGTAGTGGCGGTTGTCGTCACCGGTTACAGCGTCATAATGGCATAGTGTGGTGCTACCCCGTTGTTTCAGGTGTGTCCAATGTTCATCAACTGCTTCTCGTTGTACGGCGTGTATGCGAGATTTGAGATGATTTAGGGCGAGGGTAGCTTCAGTATCCTCTTCTTGTGTTGCTTCTTTGGCAAGCCGATCAACAGTGTCACAGGCAGTTATCCCTATATGTGACGGGATCCAAATAAACTTGACACGGATGCCATCAGTTTGCTCTAGCCCGGCAACGGCGGCTAGGGTGTGTTGGGCGGCAGGGGAGGAGGGGGAGGGTGATTTGAGCCTCGCTAGCGCAGAAGTGCTGCCACTGATTATAAGGAGGTTCCAGCGTTCAGTGCGGGCATAGGTCACCCAGATGAGAAGTGAGGGGAGGGTACCAGGTACAGTCGGGGTCAAAAGTTCACTCCCGCCCAAAATGAAGCAGCATCCACCCCAATTGAGATGAAATGGTCAGGGAAAGTCAGTTTGGAGACTCATTCTCGTGACTCAATTTCGCCATGGGGAGCAAACTTTTGTCCCTGACTGTACCAGGATAAGTGTCTGACTGGAGGGTGAGGGAGAGGAGGGTGCCAAGGTCAGTGCTTAGGTGAGGGGTTAGGAAAGCATGGGTGCCAGGTGCTTAGGTGAGGGATGAGAAAGGGTAGAGTGCCATGGCTAGTGCCTAGGTGAGGGAGGGGGAAAAGGATGAAAGGGAAAGTGAGAAGGGAGAGGAACACAAAAGCAGAGCAAGACAGGAGAAAGGAGACAAAGGCAGGCTGAAGAGGGAGAGATGGGAAAAGATGAATAGACAATGAAAGGAGGTTAATGATTAAAATGATAGATAAAGAAAGTAAAGAAACAGGAAACATGTAGGAAATAGATGGACTGCAAAAACAAAGAAAAATAGAGGGGGAAAGTAAAACAGGCAAGACGGGAAATGGAGGAGAAATATGAGATGATAAGGAATAAATGAGGAAAGACAGGGCACTGGTGGTAGCCTCGCAAGCAAGATGTCACGGGTTCGATTCCCGGGCCGGCGGAAGTTGTTTGGACACTCTTCCTAGTCCCCTTGGTCCCTGTTCACCTAGCAGCAAAGTAGGTACTGTACCTGCTGTAAATCAAAAGTTGCGAATTCGTATTCAGGGACTTGTTGGAGCTTCCAATAACTAGCTTAGACATAAACCATTGACTCTTCAGGCTTCTACGCCCTTAACTCATGAGACATAAGGCAAGCATGAACTTAGCATGCTTCTCTGTTGGCCGCTGTAAACACTTCTATGCCTCACCTTACACAGGGATGTTGGGGGAAAAAAAAAAAAAAAGAGGAGAGACAGACAGGCTAGAAAAAAATGAGAGATAAAAAATGGGGGATGGATGAGATGTGGGCTGGAAGGTAAGAGAAAGTGAGAGATAGAAATACTGTAGAATTAAAAACAGACACAAGTGGAAAATGAGAGACAGACAAAGTAGAGAGAGAAGTGGCAAATAAGAACTAGATAGACGAGACAAACAGACAGAGAAGTGGGAAAATGAGAAATAGAGAAGATTGGCAAAAAGAGAAAAATAAGACAATAAAGGGCAGGAATAATCTCAGAGAACAGGTAAAACACACAATAAAGAAACAATAGCTACTGTAAAAGGTGAGGTAGAGGTGGAATTCAGTAAAAAGAGGAAGAGAAAAAGAGGAGGGGAAGAAGAAAAGGAATGGGAGGGGGAAGAAGATGAAAAGGAGGAGAAAGAAGAGGATAAGGGGATGAAGAGAAGGAGGAAAAGAAGATGAGTACTATAGTATATCTTTATACTTAATACTTTTACATAAAAAAGTTCAATAAATATTAATGTATCCTGTTCAACTGCTGTAACTCAGTCTCCCACCTGTAGGTGAAGCTGTCAGGAGCTAAACTCTGTCTTTCTCCTCTTAGGTGAAACTGTGTCAGAAGCTACGCACCAAGGTCAACGGTCGTATTGTGAAGCCGCCCTTCGAGGAGCCCGGAGTCCTCAACCTGACGAAAGAAGGCCAAGCTGTCTCTGTCACCACACCCCTAGGTTAACACCTTCATTAATTAAAACACCTGTGTAGTGAAGAAGTTCAGCGATAGATATATAACAGCAATAGATATAGTACAGTACTGTAACTACCTTCTCTATTGATAGATATAACTGCCTTCTCCAGCGATAGATAGATAGATGGATACTTACCAGTAATCAGTGAAGGTTTATATTGATGCAACATGTATTTAAACAGTGCAGGTATACAAACAGTGTACCTTGACACTACAGGAATTTTATTGGTCAAAATTTAAGTGAAAATACGACTAGTAAGTGAACATCATCTCAAAAATATTTGTAATTTGATATGAAATTCATAGGTATTAAGACACCTTATTTAGCTTGTTCTAAGATATGAACTGTAACTTTACTTCTTATGTTTTAGAATACAAAAATCATCTTAATTTACTATCAAGGAAAAATTTTACTTGCCACTATATGAAACTTTAATAAAATCTAACATTATTATTGTAATATTTTACAGCATACCTTCTGTATCATTGTATACAGGCAGTCCCTGAGTTACGATCATCCGCACTTATGAACAGGATCCGAATACAGTCATTGCAAATTTTTTTGCATCACAGTATTTTCATTTTCTATTTTGTTTAACATCACTTTATTTCCAGAATTTACATTATTTTTTATGTATTGGATAATATTGTTGTTTTGTATGGGCAGGGTTGTGCTTTAATCTAACCTAACCTTAAAAATTAACACAGTTGTGATTTACGATCAGGGTCCAGGAATGTATCCCTGTCGTAAGTCGGGGACTGCCTGTATAATTGTCTTCAACTTAGCACCATGCTTAATAAACTCCTATGAGAATAATGTTTATGATTACATGTATTAAATTTTAATCTTGGTGTGAATGTTCATCGCAGGGGTGAGAGTGCTGTGGGATGGCATCAGCTACGTGGAGGTGGAAGTACCAGTTGAGATGAAGAACCGAACTTGTGGTCTCTGTGGGAACTTCAACGGTGATGCGGATGACGACCTCACCACTAAAGATGGGACACTAGTGGAAACGCCTAACCGTATGGCCATGTCCTGGTCCACGGGTAAAGTGAGGCAGTGTTCCCGCAGGATGATGGCAGAGAAGAAGGCAAAACAACAACGTCGACCACAGCGCCTGACGTGTCTTGTACCACATGACCAAGCTCTTAGTCAGTGTGGACTTCTCAACAGTACAGTTTTCCAGGCCTGTCATAAAATCATCCCAATTGAAAAGTTCTACCAGTAAGTTCAGTTGTTATTGAACTATAGTGGCTGATTCACTGATGTGGATTGATCTAAAGTATAAAAAGTTTTTTCATGTTGAGATTGATTTATATGTTAAAACAATGGTGCTTAATCTTTTTAGAGCCCCCCCCCCCCCCATGATCTACTTTGAATCCATAGCACCTCCCTAATCCCCAAAGGGTCTAAGATTTTTTTTTTCATATTTCAATTTCACTGCCTTTTTTGTCTTTCTAGATCCAAGTAAACAAAGGGGTGAATTGACAGGGGTTAGGTTGAAAGTGGTTTAGTTGACCATTGTTGAATTGATCGGCCACCATATATGTCTGTAGCTATTCTAGAAGTGCTTCAAATAAATTGAGAACCCCTACTCTATGGTAACACTGTCCCAGCTCAGTCAAGCAGAACAAAAAATTTGTAGACCAACTAAGCATACTTAAGGGTTTGTGTCAATGTGTCTATCTGCCTTAAATTGTTCAAAGTTATAACATGTTGATGCTGTAAGTTATTTCAATTTTTAGGGAAGAAAACTAATTCTTTTTCATGGCCAATAAGCAACATCACTTATAGTCAGTGATGTTGTTTGTACTCGGGGCTAAGGTGTTCACATGGTTTGTAATGATTGTTAGCCGTAAAGTAACCCCTATTGTTGAAATAAGAATGAAGAGGTTTTGAGTATTTATAAATTATTGAACATACGTTAATGTTTTATTGAATGTAGGGATAGTGAAGAAGACATGATTGAGTAAATATTGATGTACTGTACTGTATACTGAACTAATATCAGCTCCTGGAGTATAAATATATTTATTAATCTGTTTTATGTGTGTACCGGTAGGTGTTAACAATGATCCTTTTCACAGGTCCTGTATCTTCGATATGTGTGAATGTCGATCAATCCGCCGGTGTGTGTGTGACACCATCCAGGCCTACGCAAGGCAGTGCCAGAGACTTGGCATCCCTGTGGAAGAGTGGCGCACACACAGCAAGTGTGGAGGTGAGAATCTTGCTGATTATTATTTTAGCGCTAATGCCACTGGATGTATTTTTTTAAGCTATATATTAGTTTATACTCGAGCTGGCACCACACACACTCCAGCACTCTTACAAAGAGATACTGTTAAACACATTTTTTTATGTGGAATCAATATTCAACACCATTTTAGAGAGCCATATTAAAAGATGTTTTTTATTATAGTATTTAATATTAATTAAACAAACTTCCAGTACTAATTCTGTGTAGAGAAATCTTTCACACATATTGTAATCTTCATAAAGGTAAAGTGATAGGCATATGATATCCAGAAGTTAAATTTTTTATTCTTATAACATGTGTGAGAAGTTCTACATTGTGTTGTGTTGTGTTCGTACAGGCCTGGAATGTCCCCATGGTGCTGAGTACATGGAGTGTGCACCACCCTGCCGAGCTACCTGTCGTAACCCAAAACCGAACCCCAACTGCCACACTTGGAGCTGTAGGGCAGGATGCTACTGTCCACACCCCACTGTGCTGCACCGTGGGGCCTGTATCCCTGCTGAGGAGTGTCGCAAGAGTAAGAAAAGACGAAGAAACCGCCGCAGGAATCGCTGAGGTGAAGCGGCTGGCTCGGCAGAGGGTGGCGGGGCAGTCGGGGTGCCGGGCCTCCTACTGGCAGTGGTGGTAGTGGTGATGGTTTTGGCTCGACTGTTGTAAAAAAAAAAATTAAAAACTCGATATGCAATAATCCTAACTGGTGAGAATCTCTTGCTTACAGTGAGGATGTAAAGTGTGTGTGGAGATAAGTGCAAGGTGACCCTGACACTACGGTACCCCAAAAAAAGGATGCCCGGGCCAGCAGGAAGGTGGTGGTTTGAGTGGCAGGCAACACAAGGCATCACGCTGGGGGAATGTGTGATTGATCTCATGAGGTGTGTTATTACGTGCATGCAAGACAGATATTAGTGGCATTGTCTTAAGAAACATTAAGTGGTGAAGAATATTATACTTATTTGTGCTTCTTCTTTGTGTGTTGTTATTTGTGTTTTATATGTTTGTTGATATTCTGTTAAATGGACGATTATTTTAACAGTGAAAGAGTCTCATGATAAGATGGTAGAGATTGTTTAATAACTGGTAACCGTTCGAGTTTCTAACATAAGGTGTCTTGCCTTTTTTTTATTATTCTATTTCCTGACTTAAGGTGTAGAGTCACAGATAGTAGGAATAGGAGTAGTAGGAATAGGAGTAGTAGGAATAGGAGTAGTAGGAATAGGAGTAGTAGTAATAGGAGGAGGAGTAGTAGTAGTAGTAGTAGCAGTAGTAGCAGTAATAGTAGCAGTAGTAGTATACCAGTCTTGAAGTGTTCCATATATATTTTTATAACATATCAAAACTTATTACTTTTATGTTTGAAAAAAGTTGGTGTTTGATTAATTAGAAATTTGTGGTCGAAAACTGTCCAAGAAATGGCACTAACTTCATAGTGAGGAGGAGGAGGAGGCAGAGCAGATAAAGACAAAAGAAAAAACAAACTAAAGAGATAACATAAATAATGTTAGCATAAAAACATAACTTACCCCCAAAAAGGTTACTAGATTTATTACCTAAATACGTATCTCGAGTTCTATGCACAGCAACAAAGACATTGAAAATAGATGACCAATCAGATACCACCATCACCACCAGCAGCAGTACACAAACAAAGGAACAGAAACACAAAGGAACAAACAGACATACAAACCCAGATAATCTCTGTAAGCAGATGTTTTTGACAGATCTGTAAACAAAGGTGGACTTGTCCAGATGGTATGTTTGTTTTTAGGAAATAATTGTGAGAAAGTGTAGTGAGGAAGGCCAATTTAGTTGTTGTCACTGTGGCCACTTGAGCTGTTTTTATGTAGCCACATGAGTTGTCTTGTGGCCACTTGAGCTGACTGGTATTGGTTGTTTGACAGACAATGGTTAAGTGACAGATGGTGGTTGTGTGATAGAAAATGATTGTGTGACAGATAATGGCTGACAGACAGTGATTGTTTGACAGATTTTGGTTGTTTGTCAGGTAATGGTTGACAGACGATGGTTGTTTGACAGATTTTGGTTGTTTGACAGATTTTGGTTGTTTGACAGATGGTGGTTGTTTGACAGATGGTGGTTGTTTGACAGATAATGGTTGTTTGACAGATTTTGGTTATTTGACAGGTAATGGTTGACAGACATTGGTTGTTTGACAGATTTTGGTTGTTTGACAGATAATGGTTGGATGACCATTTGATGGTGGTTTGACAGATAATGGTTGACAGAATGGTTGCTTGACAGGTACTGGTTGTTTGGCAAACAATTGTTTGACATAATGGTTGTTTGCCTGATAGATATTAATCTGTTTCCAGACAGTGTTGTTCAAAAGTTATGAATTTAATCGATAATCAAGAAATTAATCGTCAAACTCATCATTAATTAAGGATTAAGCTAATGGACTAGGAAATGACTGGTAAATGAGACAGGGTGTTTATAAATTATCTCAACCATTGTAGGTATCAGTAACTTCAAAAACATTAAAGATACTACATACTAGATTTATTACACTTAACAAACAACTCGTATCTTTTTTTTTTCTTGTTTTAGTAGATTTCCACAAAGTATTTTTCAAGGTCCAGTCATATTAAGTTTTACAATGGGTCACATGATTTATGGAAACCCTGTATTATAATGTAGTAAAGCATCAAAGAAATTTATGTCTTGACATGTAAATATAATAGTGAATGAAAATTTTTTCTTATTATGTGTGCGAGCTATACAACCAGATTCAGTTAATGCAAAGATACGTTTCATCCCAGAAATATTACCAAAGACAAGATATGCCATTTGTGAATCTATGCTTTATGGCACACAGTCAACCCTCGCTTTACGCGGTCCCACATTCCGCGTTTCCACGTTTACGCGGTACCCTGCCGAAACAGGAATGCTCACATTCCGCGGTGAGTGTACCCCTTTACACGGACAGCGGCTGGCGAGCCGCTCCATTTTTGGATCCAAACCTCCCGCCATGTTGTGTAAGCAGTGCGAGCATGGTGCGCACAAGGTCGCCCAGTCATCAAAACATTACCGAGTTCTACACCCAAGTCAGTGATAGTGATAATTATAGTGAGGATATGGACTTATATGGACTTTGAGGGGTTTGACAAAGAGGCCCTGCAAGCCTGTGGTGGATCGTGATACAATTGATACAAGTGATACAGGTGAGGGCCAATAATCTGCCCTCTGCCTCGGAACCAACTGCCCATCCCCGTGTGCCCAGCCATCTTTTCTACTAATGTAAGTGTTAAAAAACCTAATATTATTGATATTTCTCTTAATTATTAATTGTGTGTGCATACCATCATAAAGTTAAGATAATATTTTTACTACAACATAGTTGTGTGTTGTCAAAAAGTGGAGTTTGGGGGTCGACCCGGTCTCTATTTCAATTAATCCCATATGTTATGTTGTTCACTTTCCGCGGTACCCTGTGGGTTGAATTAACCGCGTAAAGTGAGGGTTGACTGTATACTGTGCTGTTGTGTATATAGAAATATATTTAAAAATAAATTTGCATCATGTTGAGTTAAACTGTTGATGGATTTACAGTTTCTCATGGTTTTTTTTTTACAATAACTTTAAATTTTTAACCTGATCAATGTGGTGCTTAGAGCGACGATAAAATATTATGTCTAGGAGCTGGATCCTGGAATACTGTATTCCGTTTATAGTTACTTAAAGTAATACTGTGTGTGTTCTGGGAGTTTGGCCAGCTTGATTTGAAAATTTCTTCATCAAGTTGAGAGGGAATTTCTTTTTGTTGTGTATAGTAGTTGTTGTGAAGGTTCTTAGTATTCTATATGATAAAATGCCAGATAATAGACCCTTTAATGTGAACAAGGTAGAAATAGCATACAGGTAGATAACAAAAACTGTACAGAATGAATAAGAGAAACATAGAAAATAGTGCTCTGGGAGTCATGTGATCTCGGCGAGTCATTAGGGTGAAGTGGTTTACATTAAGAGGTGTGACTCTGTTAACATTATCTCAGAGAACAGTGTATGAGATTTACTAGTTGGATAACCCTCTGAAGATAATGACTCAATATATTTATGAAAACTGAAGGTAATATTTAGAGGTTGGTGTCTAAAGGACCAGGAGAGACTGTGTGTGTTGTTCCAAAGAGATAAACTCGGGCAGGTGTCGTGTTCAGAGGTTCATGGGGCCTACTTGTACTGTCTGCAAGTTGTCTACTGTGTATACATCCCCCAGAAAAGGACGTTTGAATGCCCAAGTAAACAGTGAGTTGGTTTAGTGTTGCCAAGAAGGAGAAATTATCCAAGAATAAGGTTAGCACGACTGCTGATAATAATCTCACAGGAAGCGTCTTTCATTATGCCTAAACCCCATTATTTTACAGTCATTATTGGAAGCATCAAAATACTATAACTATCCAGATTATATATATTTATGCCAGTCAACAATTAATTTGTCATCAGTTCTTCATGGGACTGAAAAATGGAAATTATATGACGAATGTTTGCCTGATGATGGTGAACTGAGAACAAGTAAAGGAATGGTGTGATGAGCTTTGACAAACAATGCAAGTTGGTCTGTAAATTATTATAACACGAATCTTAAAAGTTTACCTAATTTAAATGAGTTGAGAGTAGATGATTTTTTTTTAAATAGTAATTTTTTTTTTTTTTTCAATAATTGAAGGTGTCTCTCACAGTGTCAGAGGACCATAATGTACTCCTTGCATGTGCCTTGTCATAGTGCATTGTGGTTCCCCCAGTTCTCTTGGTGTCAAGTTAGTCGTTTATTTTAGAACTAGTTGTTAAAGAATGCCCACTGGCTCTGATATTACCGCAACACTTATTGCCTTCAATGTTTACTCTATATATTTTATATATGTGGTACATCACCCCATCATGTTTAGGAGTGATTCTACGTTCATGTTGTAGCTCAACCCCTACAGCTGATTGGAAGGTGAAGGAACATATGGGATCTACACAATGTGTGTTATGAGAGTGATGATCAGCACATACTTTAATCACATAATGTTTCAGATGCCAATGATTCCTTCTGTTGAATGTGTTCCTACATGATACATTATGTATTATGCCAATCTCATCTCTGTGATGGGGAGGAATATGTGTCAGTTACTTCATGCCAACACTGCCAAGATATTGAGGCAGTGACTCACACGACACACAATGTTTAGCCGTGTCAGCTTGGCCAGCGTTAGTTTAATTATTTCTTCATAGTCTTGGATCTTGGCTTTAAAATATGGTAGTTGTCACAACTTATGTTTCTTACAAGTGAAGCAGTTATATATTAGGGAGTACTGTCATAGTCAGCATAAACTCTTTTGTGATTGATGATGGCCTCAACTAAAATCTGGATTAATGGTTCCTATTGGCCAGCAGACAATCACTAGTTACCATAATATATAATGCCAAGTGGCTACAAAAAGCCTGAGTTAGCCAGCCAAGCCCATAATGTTTGTATGTTATAAGAATTGGCCACTATAAATTTAGGCCGATTGACTGCAGATAACTAAAGTTACTCTCTGCCCATTGACATAGTTAACACAAATTCCCTCCAGCCTTAACTTCACATGATCAACCTTAAGCTTACTGATGCTCAAGTAAGCTTCATGATGGCTCCCTCAAGTAGGCCATCTTTGGGTTGTTCACTTTCTGCCCTGAAATTCAGTAATGAATTTAGTGGTAATACGATCTCTGTGTAATTCTTCAGTAAGGTTAATTTTCCTAACAATTGGATACAATTGACAATATTTTTTGCTCATTATTTACTCGCAGTTATGATGTTTTGCCAAATGCTGTAGGAATTTTTCAACATTTCTGGAACAGAGAAAGATGGATGTTAGGTCTTGTTTATATCAGACATATGACAATAGTGTACACATCACTGTTCTCAGACATATGACTGATGAGTGTACACTACAGATCACTACTATCAGAAATATGACTGATGAGTGTACAAATCACTGCTCTCAGACATGCTGAAATTTTGGTTGTATTTCTCTTAAATGTTGTAACCATAACCATTGATGTGGTCCTAATGTTGACATAATATATTGTGATGATATTCTTGAGATATTAAACATCTAATTGTGTCGTGTTGATTGTATTATCCTCTTTCAACCTCAAGTCAGTAGTGTACAATCAAAGACAAAAGTCGTGTCGCGGTTTTGTCTGAAGATTAAATATAACTCGTGAAACATTATGAGAGCCCCCGACCACAAGGCAGAGCGCACCAAAAGTTCAGCCCTTTGGCAGAGAGAAATAATGTGCTTGTGGCAGTGTGTGTGAAAGCTGCCAAAAGATACAGCATTGTACCATATATACTGAAGTTCACATTTATTTATCAAGTAAATACTGAAATTTATGTACTGGTACGTACAGTACTCTAGTAATTGTTTGTAGATAAAAAACAAGAAAAAAATTTTCTTGTCAGGTTAGCTAAAGCATTAATCATTGTTAAACACATTTCAAAGTCATATGAAAATTTTGCATGGCATGTTTCCATTTATGGTCAAATTCTTCTATCTCTTCACCCTCAACTTGTCCTCTCATGAAGCAACTCTTTCCATTTCCTCCAAAATTTGTTGTTCTTCTCCAATGTTATTTTTCAAAACAGGGTGCAAAAATGCCTGGCTACGGCTCTGCCAACAACAACCACCACTACCACCCAACTGTTTTATTCCGGTTGGCATCTCTGACAGCATGCCTGGCCTACCAGGTTGATCTTATAGGAAAAGGCCAAACACCTCAAACTGAAAGCCCAAATAGTTCAAATGATTATTCGATACAATAATACCAATAATAATAATAATGTGACAGCCAACACCACCAGTAACTTCCCGAACTACATAAATGAGATATATTTGGGAAGGGACAGTTCTAGGAAACGGCTGACTCCGATCATAATAAACTCATGAAACCTTTCAGGTAAATGCAAGTGTACTCTTCAGCAGCCTTGTGATCTACAGTACCTTGTGTGTGTGTGTGTGTGTGTGCATGTATACAGAGTGATAAAGACAATGAGGGATGCTCAGCAGAAGATGAGGGGTGTTCACAGGTCTGAACCACTGAGAAACAAGAACCCAGATACTACACTGAATATCATAGCCAGTAAAATGAACTATTTGATTGATAAATATACACCCAAGACTAAACTCACTGGCTCTAGGAAAACAAGAATACCATTTACACATGAACCATGCAGCAGTTGACAGTGACAAAGTTAAGAAACAAAATCAAGAGGTGGGTTACAACAAATGATGAGCAGAACTGGAGGATGCATGCCAGGTCCAGGAACAAAGCAAAGGCACAATGTAGAAGGACTGAAAAAGAGTTCCAAGGGTGGATTGAAAGCAAGGAAAAATCAAGCCCAAAGGCTTTCTACCATTATGCATTATTGTGACAGGTAAGGTTACTGTGAAACTTATATGGCTTATACTGTCCTGTATATTTCCCAATTTCTATCATGGAACCAACTTTAGCAAAGTTTAATGTTAGTTATGTGTTAGGTTGGGTAAAACAGTTAGTGAGAGAATTTCAACATAGC